AGTTGGTAACCAATGGGGGGAAAATTGCTGTCATGAATATTTTGTCTTGACATTAGAATTTTAAAGTAAGTTTATTTTCTCAACTATTTTGAGCCAGTTATCACAGTTTTAATGTAAATAAACACACCTAAGTTTCTATGATAGTATGAGTTATGCACTAGGGGTGGAGAGATGGCTCAGCGGTTAAAAGCACTGCCTGCTCTTCCAAAGGTCTTGAGTTCAATTCCCAGCAACCACATGATGGTTCACAACCATCTATAATGAGATTTGGTGCCCCCTTGTAGCCTATAGGATTACATACAGACAAAACACTGTGTAAATAATAAATAAATTTTTAAAAATTAAAAAAAGAGTTATACACTAAACTCTACATAGAAGTATTTGTACTGGACTAAATTTACATATCAATCTAATTCTAATTGCCTTTGTATGTGCATAGTGTGTATGTGTGTAGGTATGCATATCTATACATGAGCATGTGGAGGCCGGTGTTTAACATCAGCTGTCCTCCATGGCTTTCCACCTTACTTTTCGAGGCAGGGTCTCTCACTCAACCTGGAGCTCGCTGTTTCTGCTAGGCTGGCAGTCAGTGAGCCACTGGCATCCTTCCCCAGAGCTGAAGATACAGTGCATGCCACCACACCTGGCTTTTACATAGGTGCTGGGGATCTGAACTCAGGTCCTCAAGGTTGCTCAACAACCGCTTTACACACTGAGCCATTGCCTCAACCCCTACTTATTTTTTTTCCTTTTTTGCAGGGGGGGTTCGAGACAGGGTTTCTCTATGATTTTGGAGGCTGTCTTGGAACTAGCTCTTGTAGACCAGGCTGGTCCTGAACTCACAGAGATCTACCTGCCTCTGCCTCCTGAGTGCTGGAATTAAAGGGGTGTGCCACCAATGCCGGCACCCCTACTTATTTTTTAAAGTCTGTTATATGCAAATACATCAGCTGACATTTAATGTTTTGGAAATGCCCAACCCAAATCATGAAGAATTAGAAAACAAAATAAAAATGATTAGATACCTCTGAAGAGGGCCAATTCTTTGACCTGACATTGCCTTCATTTTCAATTATTATAATAAAGTTAGAGTTACTTGATCAATTGTAAATGCTTTTTCCTATTTAAATTTCTTTTATACTTTAAGTATATGGTTACTACTAAATGTCCTTTGGTTGAATGAGTTAACTGGAAGTAGCAGTGAGTTTACTTGGGTAAGTGTGTGTCATAACAGAAGCCTATATCATTTTACCTAGTTAAAGTCCACAAACTTAATCCCCCTTAAAAATTCTACCAAAAAAACTCTCTCAGCATCTCATATTTGTGTGTGTGTGTCTATCCCTGAGAATTAAAATTAATTTGCTTTCATAGGAGTAAGCCATATCAGGAATACATTATGTTTTATTGATTATGAGTTAGAAGAAATCATTTTTAATTGCATAAAGTTTCTCATTTTATTGATGAATACAGTTTGAAGTAATAATTTCCTAGAAAAATAGAAAAGATTTTTCCAGAGATGATTAAGACCAACTCTCAATAATGTTTCTCTATTGACTATACACTTCCTAATATGATGCCTATGAAACTCATACAAGTTGTTTTTTACAATTTTCTTTTAAAATTCTAGTCATTGGGGGCCATGGGGACAGATCAGTGAGCACTCACTGCCAAGCCTGATGACCTGAGTTTGATTCCGGAACCTAAATGTCGGGAAGAGAACTGATTCCCACAAATTGTCCCCTAACCTCTATACTTGTGCCCGTGGCACATGTCCTCCTACATGCATATACATACGCAAGTATATACAGAACAAATAAATGCGTGTAAATAAAATGATAAATTATTAGTTTAAATGTGTTTGTGTACTTATAGGCAAGAAACATTGGCAAAGCATTTGTCTAGAGACCCTAATGATCCTTCAAACTTAACAACAAAAAAATCCTCCATAACATAGGTGTGTGTGTATGTGTGTGTGTGTGTGTGTGTGTGCCCATAACATAGATAGAAAGATCAACTTGTATAGAGAGAAGCAAGACCACCAATACCTTTATAGCTTCCCCAAACTCAATATCACTTCCTGAACCTGGCTGCCTCCTTCCCTGAGACCCCCTCATTATAAGTTTAAAATTCCTTGATTAGCTCTCATTTCCTTCAGGCTGGTTTCTGTTACCTGCATCAGGAGCCCTAAAGTGTGTATTTATATTAAACTATGTAGTGATGCATAATAATTCATTCATTGTGTTGGTCCAAGAGATTCTCAGCTCATCTTGATGTTGTCTTACTGATGTCATGACATCAATTCTTTGGCTAGTCCACAGGCATACCATACAGAACATGGACCAATCTCGTCTGATCTTAGAAGTTAAACAGGGCTAGGCCTGGTTAGTACTTGGATGGAATAATCCTTTGGCTAGGCCAGAGAATGGTAGCATACACCTTTAATCCCAGCATTTGAGAGACAGATGGGTGGATCTCTGAGAGTTCAAAGGCAGCCTGGTCTACAAAGCAAATTCCAAGCCAGCTAAGCCTCCATAGTAAGACCTTGTCTCAAGAAAAAACAGAAGGAAAGAAAGGAGGGAAAGAGGAAGGAAGAAGGGATGGAAGGAGGGACGGAAGGAAGGAGGAAGGAAAAGAATCCTTTGACTAAAGAAAGGTACCTAAACTGATGTGATATGGCTTCTGCTACTGAACAAAGGTGCCAAATGAGGAGCGTTCTTTACAGAAGCTGCTGCCCCATCACTGGGCGGTCCACAGCATACACTGTACAAGAGCACTCAAGAGACAACTGAAGGTGAAAGGGATTCACAGCCCGGCTCTCTGCCACAGTAGAACCTGCACCTTTGAAGACTAATACTGAAACCACATGCTTAGCTTTATGACTTCCTTCTCTCCAACACCAAGATACGAAGAAAAACATACACAAATCAGTTGGTGTTATCAGGAAGTGATCGTTAGCTTTTCTGAAAACACAATGCCTTGGGGGCCTTAAATGAATTTAACCTTTCCTGTAATGAAGAAACATTTAAAATGAGTAGAACAATGAACTTTTCTTGCCCCAGGCTGGAAGTACTCTATCACGTGTATTCTTCACAATTTTTCTTTTGCGTCTACTTTGTGTGTGTGTGTGTGTGTGTGTGTGTGTGTTGCTGGGGATCCAACTTAGTGCTTCCTATATGCTAAGAGTATCCTCTATCACTAAGCTATACCATCTCTTTCATTTTAAAACCTATTCTTTCCCCCTAGACAGCTGTAGTGGTTTGAATGAGAACGATCCCCCTAGACCCAGATGTTTAAATAGTTGGTTTCCAGTTGGTGGAGTTGTTTGGGTATGATTAGGAGGTGTCATATGGCCAGAGGAAGTATATCACTGGAGATGGGCTCTGAGATTTCAAAAGACTTGAGCCATTCTATATAGTGAGATCCAAGTCAAAAAACCAAAAGAAGGTGCCCCTGAGGGGCAACACCCGGAACTAACCTCTGACACAAATACAAACAGGTATGCTTATCTACACACACACACACACACACACACATACACACACACGCAGCATGCACATATACATACACACACGCACGCATGCACACATACACATTCACACACATGTGCACACACACACTAACTTCAAGGGAAGTTAAGACAACTTGGCAAATTGCTGCCCATGCAACTGACAGAGTTTGTGAATTTATTGCTATTCAATAAATTCTGAGATTGAAAAAAAGACAGAAATGTATCTAAATTCCTGACATAGCATGCTCACGATGGTGACACAAGCCTGAAAAACCCAGAAGTAGAGGTACAGTCGGGACAGTCAAATGTTCTCGTTCATCCTCCACTGCATATTAAGTTCAAGACCAGCCTGAGCTATGTGAGACCCATCTCGAAAAACAAGCAAACACTATTTCACCAGGTTACAAATAAGTTGGGGGGTTGTTTTTGTTTTTTGAAACAGGGTCTCACTGTGTTACCCTGGCTGGCCTGGAACTTATATGCCTGCCCTCCGGTGTGGTTACTAGTTAGTTGACACTCATTCTGCCCACTCGTGGGTGCTCAGCTATCCTCTGCCCAACCACTGAGAGGTGGCACACAGTAGGCTCTTTCACATGGGATCTTAGTTTCTTTTCCATTGCTGTGGTGATATACTCTAACAGCAACTAGAGGGAGCGAGAGTGTATTTTACTCACAGTTCAAGGTACAATCTGTCATGGAAGCTGGAGCTTGGAGTGACTGGAGACATGACGTCTGCAAGCAGAGAAAATGAATGCATGCTGCTGCCTAGGTCCCTTCTCTGTTTACACAGCCCAGGATTCCAGGGAATGGCATCATCCACACTGGGGCCTGGCTTCCAACTTGAATCTATGCAATCAAGATACTCCGCAATGTTGGGGAGCTCCATCCAGCCCCACTCCTCCCATTTTAGACCCTGCCCCAGAGAAAGCCCACCAGCAGCAGCTTCTCCCCCTGAGATGCTTAGGACCACACCCACAGGATATTCAACACCTGGCCTATAGACCTGCCTTACGGAGTCACTTGGGAGTGCTCTACTTTGCTTTGCTCCATTTATTAAATCTGGTCTTACTAATTCAGTTTTATTTGGGTTATTGCATCGTCGGAGGATACCCAGTAGCTGGAGATCCAATACTTATCACACAGGTGTGCCCCAGAGGTTCATCTCCCAAGTGAGTCTAGATTCCATGGCGAGCATCACACCTGGGCCGCTCTATGCAGGGTTGGGCTGAAGTCCTGTCCTCCCCCAGGCTGTCTTACAGCTGAGGCCCGGGTCATTTCCTTCTGAATTAAGTAATCATCTTGGTGTCTCGGTGACCTCCTCATTTCCCTAGAGTTTGACCATGTTGTGCCCAAATTCTGAACCCCCAAATCACCAAGAGACCCAATCTGATGCAAAAAGCAAAGAGTAATGAATTAAGGAACTAACTACTAAATCAGTTCCTCCGTCCATCGAACACAGCTGGTAGAGCCAGAAGGACTTGGAGAGTCTGTGGGGCAGAGAATTTATTGGGGGCAGAGCAAGGGGAGTATCTGGGGTCCACAACAGTCTCAAGACTGGTGCACTTCTGTGCTTGGACAACCTGTCCTGTGTTGATTGGTCAACTGATTGCTATGGCTTATAGGCCCTCCCAGGGCAGGTGCTATCCTGCAGGTGACAGGGGCAGGACTCGCAAGGTCAGAAGGTCAAACACTCAGCAACAGGTGCTGAGTCTGAGGCCGACATCTTGCTGGGTCTCTTCTGCAGCCTGCCCTGGCTGCCAAAGCAGGGGGCTGGTGAGGGTCTGGTCCCTTCAGCCAGGTGTGTAAGGTGCCGATGGCCGCCAGCCTGTCCACGCACTGGCCACCTCCCTTCAGATGCTTCGTCTCCATGTGCCTTTTCTCTGGTGAGGGGAAGAAGCCTCACTTTCTGAGTTCCCATCTTTTCAGCACCAAGGCCCGAGTTTGCCTTTTAAATTTTCTTCCGAGGCAATGAATGTCAGGAAATCTAGCTGTACAAATGGAGGAGAGACTAAAGGAAGGAAAGGAAAAACTTAAAAGGAAGTAAAAAAAATTAAGACTGTATCAATGAATCTGCATGGTAGCCCTTCCTGGAAGTCCTAGATACTATAGAGGCTGTGGCGGGAGGACCACTTGAGCCCATGCTGGGCATCACATCTTAGGCATCACATCTTAGAAGGAAAAAAATTTTTTTAAGATATATGTTGTGGTAGCGCACGCCTTTAATTCCAGGGAGGCAGAGGCAGGAGGATCTCTGTGGGTATGAGTGCAGCCTGGTCTACATGAACGAGTTCCAGGACAGCCACAGTGGTTACACAGGGAAACCCTGTCTCAGGAAACAAAACAAAAAAGTTCTATGGCGGGTGAGGATACAACACAGTGGTAGGGAACTTAGGTAGCACATGAGTCCCTAGGCTCAGCTCCCGGCACAACAAACGCTTCTTCGAATTTGTGAAGTAATGGACAAAAACACGTGTATTGCCACCCCGGCCGCCTTTTCTTCCTTGCCCCTTGCCTTGCTGCATGTTCCCAAGCGGGAGTGCAGGAGGCTCTGGAGCATGGCTCTGCCTTTCCTCCTACATCTGCCTGTCCTCTCCTGCCCTCCCAGGCCATTGCTGACTCCACCACCTAGGCATCCCCCACCAGGTCCTCTTGAAGGAAACTACATCTACGTACAAACCGAGAAACTTGTACAAAGTCCCAGGTTTGTTATGAAAGAGCTACGGTCCCCCTCCCTCCCTCCCTCCCTCCCTCCCATCATCACCCACTCTTTCTAAGTCCCTTTAGCTCCTCCAACCCCTGACTCCTCAGCTGGGAGCTCAGAGAGCTTCTACAGATTCTTGTGATGGAGGCTGCAGCTGGGGCAGAGTTCACATGCGGCAGGAAAATCAGGGCAGAGTTCAAAATTCCTGAGCAAGGGCCAGAGCAGGTGCCTCTTGGTCGCTCCTTTGCAAGCTCCCACCCAGGGCAGAGTCTGGGATACAAGGGCCTGAATGCCATCTTGGTTTTTCAGAACAATGGAATTGTGTCACCTGCTATCATGTGTGGGCCTCAAGACTACCTTTCTTCTTGCCTTAACGCCTCTTTCCCTCACTTGGCCCTCAAACCCTAACCAGGGGACGTGATTGTCAAACCTTCCTCAGTCCCCTCCCCCACTTCACCTCACTTCACCATCCTGCAGGTTTACCACTGTCCCCCTGGTTTCCCTTTCATGGTCCTCAGAAGAGGCTAGAGAACATCAGTACTCTGGGGTAGGGCCCACGTCTGGTTATGCCTGTGTTTCCCTGGCACTAAGCAGAATGCCTTTCCACAGCAGGTGCTCCGGGACAGGCCAAGAATCAAACACCTGGCCCTCACTCTGCAGCAGTTCCCTGGGGCCTGAGGCTCTATAGGTGTTTATTTCAACTCCCTTGCCTAATTTGGGAACCTCCCTTGGTCCCTCTTTCTTTGCTTTCCCTCTATAGTTCCTGTCTGCCAGCCCTGCTCCCTACTTGGTCTCCTAATTAAGCCCAGACAATGCTCCTACCCACTCTTGGCAGCTGCTGGGGGCCCCTCCACCTCCTGCTCTTCCTGGGGTTTACACCCTTAGCTCGACTGACAGAGGCTGCCCTGGAGGCTCACACTCACCAGACTTCACCTGTTCAAAAATGACAGGCACACAGGCCTCAGAGTTCAGCTGCTTCTGCATCTCATCCCGCCCTCGAGGGCTCATCTTGGAACCGAGCCCAACATTAATAATATGGTGGAGAGGGGAGACGAGAGTGGCACCTGCCTTGTAATCACAGCGCGCTGGCCTTTTTATGTGAGTCGTTTTCTTGGGGGATGCAAGACTTAACTTGTTCTAGATACAAATCCATGTAATGATAAGCTGGGCTCTACTGTAACTTATATTTACCTTTTTGCTGACCTCAGAAATACAAAACTTGAAAGAAACTATGCCTGTGAGGACTAAATACTGTGAATGTCTCTAGTCAACCAATGCCTAACAGATCGCACACACACACACACACACACACACACACACACACTCATTCACATACATGCATACACACAGGCATTCACATACATGCACACCCACACAAACATACTCCCACACACTCATTCACATACACGCACACATACACATGCACTCACACAAATATATGCACACTCCCAAACACTCATTCACATACATACCTCCCTTGGTCCCTCTTTCTTTGCTTTCCCTCTATAGTTCAACAGAAATTAAATGAATCTACCTAGAAGGTCATAGGGTATAGCAAATGATTTTAGGATTTTTTTTTAACTTTTCTCTCTCAGCTTCTCAAACATAGCTCCTGAATTTCCTTTCTTAGGAAAAAAATTTCCTCAGGCAGTGTGATATAGAATGAGAAATGACAATGAAAACCACTGTGATTTTTCCCAGACAGTGTCTTTCTAAATTTTAGAATCCCTAGCTCAGTGCAATGCCTCACAGTGCCTGTGATCTCAGCACTATGAGGCAGGAGCATTACCAAAAGTTCAAAGCCAGCCTGAGCTACAGAATGAGTTCCATGCCAGCCAGAGCTGACCGCCCCACCTCAATAAAAAGGAATCCCCATATTATTGAGGCATCAGTACAGCAGCTGAGAGACCAGCTTCCCTTAGAAACCATAGCCCCGATGACTAGACGTGAACAAACAGGGTTTTAAGGGGCTTGAGGGCAGATTCCTTAAAACTAAACTCAAAGTATCCGGGAGCTGCAAGGCTTCTCCACTCTGGGTTTGTTTTGCTTTCTCTCTGGTATGCGGGAGACGTGGGGCAGTCACTGACATGAACTAAGTGGCTGATCTGTAATAAAAATGAAAACTGGACCTAGGATAAATATGACACTACAAACCAGTGCTAAGTGCGTGGTCTTCACGTGAAAGATAAGCGGGCTACCTATTTACACCATTGTTGTCTCGGGTGTTCAGATATGTGCATCTGAGTCTAATCCTAACCCAGTAACATATCTACTGTGTTCCAAATGGACAATTAGAATTTAAACACCCTTCTTCCTCTCAAATACATCCTCCAATGACCCAATTCTCTCCATTTAATTCTTAAATAATTTCCTTTGGGGATATAGTGATTGACTGTAAAGAAACATAGGGAAGCTTCTGGAATGTTCATATTGTCTGTTTCTTGGGTCCAGTCAACATGTACTGAGTCGTACTTCAGACACACATCCTTTTTGAATATACATTACCTATCAACAAAAGGTTTAAAATACCTCTTTTGTAAATGTGCCTTTTTGAATGGAATTGCTAACTAGATAGGTAAGGATTAAAGACTTTAAAAGATAGACTTCTCAGAGGCTGGGAGTTGGCTTAGCAGTTTAGAGAACTTTCTGCTTTTACAAAGGACCCAGGTTCAGTTCCCAGCTCCCATACAGCAACTCACAGTCATCTGTAACTCAAGTTCCAGAAGGTTCTGATGCCCTCTTCTAAGATCTGTGGGCAGGTGCACATACATACATGCAGGCAAAACACTCATACACAAAAATCAAAATAGATAAATTCTTAAAGGGTAAACTTCATAGAGAATCATAAAGATTCCATAATGAACAGAAAATGAAATCATAAATGTAAGCTATTTAGCTGCTTCAGTTACGCATCTCGTGAATGCTTTTTAGAGGACCTGTCATGGTAATAGGCACCCAGGGGCACGACAGCTATCAGGGTTCGTGCAATTGTTTGCCAGACTGTCCTAAAACTGTCCTCCCACCCCAGCCTCCAGGATTACAGGCACCAGCTATCACGCCAATCTGTTTGCGTTCGTTCAACCAGACGGCCAGCCTTGTAGAGACAGCAACTACTCTGTTTCATCCATGCTGTGCTCTGTGTATGATGTGTGTGCAGTGTGTATACATGCTCCTGTGTGTGGAGGGAAGAGGATGTGGGGTATCTTTCCTAATCATTCTACCAAACTGAACATGGAGTTTACCAATTCAGCCAGGAGGGCTGGCCAATGAAGTCTAGAGATCCACCTGGCTCTACCTCCTCAATATGTTATATGAAATATATCATAAATATATTATGTTTAATATAAAATATATAAAAGTGGTGCGTGCGCCCGCGCGCGTGTGTGTGTGTGTGTGTGTGTTTGTATACATGTGCTAAGGTATGCATGTAGAAGTCAGAGGACAGTTGAAAAGAGTTGGCTCTCTCCTTCCACCACGTGGTTCTGGGGATTGAACTCAATTCAGCAGGCATGGTGGCAAATGCTCTTACCCACTGAGCCATCTCTCTGGCCTCTTGTTCATGTTTTGAGTTGAATTGCTAACCAGTAATTCCATACATTTACACACAGTTGCTTCCCACAGCGTCAGGCAAATAGTGTTCTTTATGGAATAATGGAGTGAATATATTATAGGTTAAATAACCTCTCATGGACCACTAGGAAAATGTATTCCAAGTCCCAAACATCTGACTTACAAGTGAGCTTCTGAAATTCACTTGTAAATTAGGGGCAATGGGGGGCTCTTCAACGTTAGCATTAATCATGAACTACAAGGAACATTTCAGGCAATTCTCTTCAAGCTTCAAAAATGATGTAAGTCTAAAACATAAGAGGGTAAAATCATAATACAATTATCACAAGAAACTGTCACACCCCTTAGCCATAGTGAATAAAAAGAGTGAGACAGAGCAACTTCTAGATATTGTAATGAAAATGCAAACACTATGACTAACACAGACCGTATGAAAATAGAACATTTTCATTGCATGGCAAAAAAGAAAAGATGTCTGTGTCTTAAGCAATCAAAGAGCGAAATTGAAAATGCAAGCAACTGGAAAATGGCAGTGCATAGAAGCTCTCTGTTAAAACACAGTCCGATGGTAAATTTTCAGTGTCATTTAAAATACACTCCTCCATGGTTTTCAGAACTTATCTAGATTCAAAAGGAGAGAAGCATCAGTTTGACATGGTTAGGAAGCCAGTTTGGGGGTGCATATGCAGAGCACAGTCCTTTCTGTTGAAGTGTTCTCCTGACAAAAGATTAAGTCCAGACGGCCGTTTTTGCCAAACACTTGAGTCTAATTGGACAATTGGAGAGCTCTCGGCTTCAGCCGCCCCCGCTAAGAGTTAGCTGAAGAAAATGGATCAGTATGTATGGAATAGGTCGGTACTGGGGCTCCAGAAGGGCAAGTCGAGGTGAAGCTAACGCTGGCACCAAAGCCAAACGTGTGGGGGAGCAGAGACGTGGAAATGCGCGCAGAGGAGTTCACGAAGGAAAGAAAAAAAAAAAAAAAAAGCCGGGCGGTGGTGGCGCACACCTTTAATCCCAGCACTCGGGAGGCAGAGGCAGGCGGATCTCTGTGAGTTCGAGGCCAGCCTGGGCTACAAGAGCTAGTTCCAGGACAGCCTCCAAAGCCACAGAGAAACCCTGTCTCGAAAAAAACCAAAAAAAAAAAAAAAAGAAATGTGAAGCCAGGTGTGGTGGTTCACACCTATAATCCCGGCATCCACAGTAGAAGCAGAAGCTGAGGGCACGGAGGTCATCCTCTGTTACATAGTGAATTTGAGACCAGACTGAACTACATAAGACCTTGTGAAACGGGAGCGAACAAGGCAGTTGAATCTGCCTTTAAGCACTTGGAGGTAGAGGCTGATGGATCTCTGAGTTCAAGGATAGCCAGTCTGCATAGAGAGACCCTGTTTTAAAGAAAAAGAAAGACAGAAGGAATCTGGACACCTAATCAGGGATGTCACGACATTCAAGAATGTGCAGATCACTCTATTGTATCAAACACCTTACCTTCTTAGCCAAAGAATATTTGATTGGGCTTGTAGCCAAGAAGACAGTGCTCTCAGATAGAAACGAGACATACACAGCCGTTCCACGCCAAACAACACAAACCCTCCAGTCCTGACCTATGTGTGCTGACTAGTTTTGCTATGAGCAGCCATAGATGAAGTCAACTGAAATTCTAAAATCAAATCATGCACAGCACCAAGCTGGTTCTTTTCCCTGGGATGAATTTTAAACTGTTGCAAAGTCTAAATTTTAAATCCTTCAATATATTCCCCCCAAAGAGTCCGATTCAGTAAATTTCAAAGAAAATAGAAATGAGAGCTAAAATTACAGAAAATTGAGATTCCTTTAAAACGACTTGGACTCTGCATCAGTCACTGGGAGTGGTCGGCCTCCTTTATAGGTTAGAATTATTTTGTTTTTGTTTTTTTCTCTTTGGAGTGCTAGAGTGGAACCCAGGGTCTCACCAACACTAGGCAAGCACTCCACCCCTTCTCTTTATGTATGTCATAAAAATATTGCTTTCTCTGTAACCCAACCAAGTAAATACTTTAGCAGTATTGTGTTCAAGCAGGCACTCAATTGTTAGTCTATGTCCTAGTTAGATTTGTCAACTTGATGCAATCTAGAGTCACCTGAGAAGGGAATCTCATTGAGGGATAGGCCAGATCAGATTGGCCTGCGGGCATATCTGTGGGGAATTGTCTTCATTTTTCAATTGACACAGGAAGGCCCAGCCCACTGTGGGCAGCACCATCCTTAGGCAGGTTTTCCAGGGCTGTATAAGACAGTAAGCTAAGCAGGAGTCTGTGAGTGAGCTAGCCAGCCAGCAATGCTCCTTTTTGGCTCCTGCCCTGACTTCTCCCAATGATGGACCGTGACCTGGAAGCAATAGTCAAATAAATTCTTTCTTCCCCAAGTTGCTTCTGGTCAGAGTG